CTTCCCCCTCTTTTGACAGGATCCACAGAAGTTCGCCTAAGGTTTGGCTGTGGGTCTGCATCTGCTTCCATCAGTCACTGGGTGAAGTATCTATGATGACAGTTGGGCCAGGCAATAACCTCTGAGTATAACAGAATAGCACTAGGAATTATTTCTTTGAGATTTTTTTGCCTGTCTTGTTTAGTTCTATCCTAAGACTATGGGCTATCCAGCCTCTGTCTTGGAGCGGGGCTGTCTCTGACTTTTGGGAACTGTTTTGTGGGAAACTTTCCACCTCCTCTACTCCTCCAGTCTCAATAAGATAGGAGGTGCCTAGTCTTATGCAATTTGATACACTTAACTGTGCCTAGCCTTACTGCAACAGGACTGGCTGATACACAAACATGGGAGGTCTATCCTTTTCTGAAGAGAAAGGAGGAGTGAATGCATTCATTTATTTAGTTCAGTTAGTGTAACAGTGTTAAGCTTGCCAATCTCAATGTCCTGAAAAAGAATCTACGTGTAATCTAATCTCTAACTCTCTTCCCCAGCTTTGAGAGTGAAAATACCGCATGTTTCCTGTAGACATTTTATCTCTTACTTATAAGGTTTTCTATGTTCATGGACAGTTGTTCTTGTGGTCATATTCTTTGAATAATGTAATACCACTCAAATAATACATGTTCTCTGAAGTATGATGAATATTTTCTTGTACATAATTTATTAAAACTGTAAATTCATGCCATTAAGGAGTCTCCAAGATCAACACAACATTGGTTACAGACATAAAGCTTTTTGCTTCTTAAATTTTCATCACTGTTGCTTCCACAATATTCACAAATTCAACAAATTCTCATCTAATTTCATGTTCTCCCACCATATTATATCAGGGTTAAAGTTGTAACTATAGTGGAGATGGTGTGGAGAATGGGAGGATGGGAGGAGAGAGAACTGGGATTGGTATGTAAAATAAGGTTGCTTTTAATTTAAATGAAAATTTATAAAAAAAGAAGAAAGTTAAATAAAAATTATTATAAAATAAAAATCAGTACATTGCCCCATCAATAGTCATATTTGGGGTTCTCTTAATGAAATAAATGAAAGATTAAGCACATTATTTTCTCTGTATTGATTATAGAGAAATTTCCAATAATGACTTATGAAAAGAAATGTAAATTAACTTGTACTACTTCCTTTAATCACAATTGTATGTATCCCCCAGATATGAAAGTATGTTAAAAGCATAATATATGCTAAATATGCATGTTTAAATGAATGAATAATAAATCAATGACAGAATTCCTAGGAATAGTTTAGGTAGCAAAGTAATCCAATTTAATAAATTAAGTATGTTTATGTTGTGTGTAGAAACAACTGAATTGTAGAGTTGAGTGAAATGCTCACAACATTAATAACTTTAAAATGGAGTAATTCTAAGAAAAATGTTAAACAAATCTTAGCTTAAATTGAAAATAGGTAAGAAAACAGCATCACTAAGTTTACAGATTTGAAAAAAATGAAAATTTAAAGAAAAAAGAAATATAATTCAAGGAATCATCATCTCAGAGAATACCTGGATCAAACTGCTTTATTAATAACTGTACTTAATCTCATAGACTCTCAACTTCATCAGAGAAGTTTACATTTGCAATGGACAGAGGTTAAAAATACAATTTGTCAAAGTGCAGAGAGTAAATGACTGTAGGGTATTTATTCCTAAATAAAAAATCTGTATCATCCTCACCCCCAAACAGTTCTAGGAACAGAAGAAGGAGAAGAAATATTATAAGAGCCAGAGGCTAGAGGGGATTTGTATAAAATAGTGTCTTCTAGACATGACAGTGACTTTACATTCACTAACAAACAGCAGTTGTGTCTGCCTATACAGGGCTTGTACAAGAGCAAGCCAACCAATATTTGAGCAGAAAGGGAGGAGGGGATCAGGAGGCTACATCCCTAGCTGAGCAGCTGAGATGGCTGTTGGAAGGGGAGGAGTCATTTTTCTTCAGTGGTATAGTCAGTGATGGTTACCATGTTTCAGCAGATGGATGGCCCTATGCCCATGTACACAAGGGATGCCCTAAGCAAATCCTGTAGGTTATAAACAAACAAACAAAAAAAGGGCTTGAACCTGGCAAACATGAAGGGTGCAATGGTCTGAGAGTAGGAGGAAGAGAACTGATGGATAGATCTTATCAATGTACATTGTATACATGTATAAAATTCTTAAAGAATTCAAACATTTTAAAATAAGAAAAGCAATATTCATATAGTTCTACTTGTGATAGGAAAGATGGGAGGTATAGTTTCAACAAGAGACTAAATAAATGTGAGCATATGCAGTGAATATAACTTAAAAATAAATAATATATAAAAATAGTAAAGCACTAAATCATCGGGCTTCTGTTCCTAATGAGAACTCAAAACTTTAGTTTCACTCACTATTCCAATCTGGATCAATTATTTACTTGTTTATTCATCAAAGTACGGCAAAAGTAATTGTTATCATTATTAGTCAGCGTCTGTGCTCTAAAGTTTTTGGTGGTCATTAGCACCAAAAGAAGCTGGTGAATCTAACGTGAAATATGGAACTTATATCTCATTGATGGAAGATTTATCATACAAAAGACCCTTGGTGTGATGCTCCAGTATCATAAAATGAAACTTTCTAATAATAATTTATAAATTTAACTGTATATACTCTGTGGAATATGTGCATAATCCACATAGCCCTTCTACCCATATTCTATGGATAAAAGTGAGAAACATTTTAGTTGTTTTGATAATGAGGATACATTGTCACAGAAGTCATGTTTCACCCCTCTGTGTTCTAAGATTCATGATATATGCAGATAAATTAAAAATTCTGGGGAAAACTCAGGATTTTGTATAAAAATTGGGTATTATCAGATTGTAAATGACGAAAATTCTTAGCATGGAATGTGTATATTCACAAAGTCAAGAATTTATGTGTTACCCCTGAAGAAACTTGCACTGTGAAAAAAAAGGGTCAATGTGGCATAGAAGCAGTTATAGGAGGAAAACTCAGAGTTACTAAGAGGTAAGGCTTCATCAAATGTCACACTCACAATAATGCATTAGCTATGACTAAAGTTTCTTTCCCTGCATGCTTGTTAATGACTGTGATTGAGTCAGTGTGTGCTAACCATACTGCACCTAACAGTTGCTTATTAAGTTTAGGGTCACCCTCTTTAATTTTTTAAAACTTTTTTTGAAAGTCAGTTGTTTTATTATTTATGTTTTTCCCATTTTTTAATTTTTTGATTTCATTTTACATTCCAGCCACAGTTCTTCCTCCCTCCTCTCCTCCCACCCTCATGCCTCCTCACACCTTCCATCACCTCTTGTCCCAGCCCACCCTAAGTCCACTCCTTCTCACTGGTAAGGGCTTCCATGAGGAGTCAACATAGTCTGGCACAATAGGTTGGGGCAGGGCACAGCCTCTCCCCCATCCATTAAGACAATATGGAGTGGGCTAGCTCATGCAAATACTCTCTTTCTTTTATCACTATCCTTCCTATTAAGAGGACTAGCTTTAGTGTGGAGTGAAATTAGAGAAAGAGAACTTGAATGGTGAGGATTAATCTGTACACTTAGCCTAAGCCATGGAGAAGTCAGACTGGGAGTCTGCTGTGACTTAGGCTGGATGGTTTTGGTAGTCTCTCTGAAAGAGATTGTCTTCTGAGACTGAGTCAATGAGAGTTTATTGGAATTGTGAGAAGAGTGAGGCTGTTAGCTCTATAAAAGTAGTGAGATGTAAGCTGGTTTTAACCACAGTAAGGGACCATTTCCTAAACAGTTTTGATTGCTCAGGGAAATTTCAGAAACTCAAACTGGTAGAGCAAAAGCTGTGCTGTTATAAGACATTTTCTTTTTCTTTAGAATTCATGGCCTAGGTTAGACAGTAGTAGATGTCTACTTTATGGGTTTATGGAGCCAGGAACTTTTCAATTGACCAATGGTAGAAAGGCAATGTACACTATTAAATAAGATATTAAAAATGATCTGTGATAAAGTCTAGATGAGGCAAAGGGAACTAGAAACAAGTGAATGTATAGGGGAATCCTTAAGTTACTGGACAGTAGCCTCCAACTTCCCACCTTTCCAAAATGTATATTATATAATGACTTTCATCTGCAAGTGACTCCTAATGATCTACACATCAAATCAACTGATTAACGTAGGTGTTGAGGTCATGATACCTCTGTCTCACTATTGCATTTTTATAAAGCTTTCTATTTTCTGATGTTCTCACAACGTGCTCAGCATTTTTCACATACAGTATTTATGTAGCTGTTGTATGGTTTTTCTTTCATTGTTTCTTCTGTTGTAGTTATATTCCTCTAGTTCTTTTAGACATAATTCTTACTTCACTGCCGAAAGTTCTTCCAGCTTCTATCAATATTTTACTTGCCTACCCTCGTCTTCCTTAGTGAAGTTACCACCATGTAACACATAACTTCAAGTTATTTTTCTTCCTTGTCATTTTATTTCAATGACTAAAATGAGAATGTGATAAAATAGGATCTTGGATTTTGTAAAACATCTACAAAGTTGCTCATCATGTCATAAACATTTTTAAGAAAAGTCTAAACTTACAGAAGTTCTTTAAATGTTTCAGGTCTTAAAGACTGTCTTGCTTCCACAGGTTATTATTCTACTGACTTTCTTCTACAGATTAGAGACTGCTCAAATATGAATATAGCTACAGTGAGAATTCTGGTAGAATTTTGGGGGTGGTTTTGTGTGTATAGATATAGAAGAAGGGAAAATGAAACAATTGATGCTCACTGGGAAAATTATGGAAGTGATTACAGCCAATAAATCTGTAAGCATTCAAAGGTATGAGAGAACCACTTGGAGTTAATGGCCTCAAATTTATACAGTGCCCTCCATAGTTGCTTAACTTTTATTTTCAAAGAACTGGCTATTCCAGTAGCAGTAGCCTGGTCTCAATGTATGACAAATCTGAGTAAAAAGATCACACAGTAAAATGCGTTTAAAATTTTAATGTTTTGTCAAGAGAGATTTTGGTTCTTATCTCATAATTAGTACTGAAAAGACATCAGTTAAGCAATGTAGTAAATACGGTTCCATAATTCAAAGCTGGCACATTCAATGCAATTCACAAAGAAGATTATAAACAACACAGAAAATATCCCACTCTCTCTTTTTATTGGCTCAATATTGTTGTCTTTTCAAGAAGCATCTTAGGGAATATTGATGGCAGGAGATGATACACTGGATGGGAAACTATGGCTAAATAAATTTTCTATTTAAACCTAGGAACAAAAAGAAAAAGTAATGTATTATAAAAAACTTTATCAACATATATACAATATTCACATATATGTATGATCTATATATGTATTCAAATATATAGAGTAGCCAGATATAAGTCTTCATAATTAACACTAATTTACAACATATCAATGACATACTAGTGCTGAAAAAGTAGCTATTAAAATTATTGATTGTCTAAGTGATACTTAGGGGATTAAATTCTCTAATACATTTTATAAAAGGATTCTATGTAATGTTTTCAATAATTTAGAAATATTTACACACCCAGATCCACCATTTAGTCAAAGAAGGAAAAGTTATTATGTATGGCTTAAAATTGTAAAGAAAGAAAATACATAGAAATAAACCTTCATATCTACTCACAAGTCTCTCTGTACAGAAAGCTGGACAGATATATCTTGTTCAAGGAAGACATTTTATGTGAAGTGTAAAAGGAAAATATCAAGTGTGTACCAATATGACTACTTATGCTTTTGGCAATATCTGCTTGATGTTATTACTTCTGGTTGAATCAATTCCATTCCACAAAGGAATTTCTGTATTATTTATTTTTAAGTACTCATAATTAGTATATGCATCCAAGTTACACAAATAGCTGATTGACAACTCAAGAATTCAGAGCAAAACTTGAAATATATCAATGAAATTTTGATAAATAGTTTAAGTGTGATTTTTTTCTTCCACTGTTGCATGAAAAATTTTAAGTATTGCTGAAAATGTTGCTCAGCGTCCAGGCCAAAAATGTATTACCTATGACTAGGGTGCAGCAGTTAATCAATAATCTTAGCAGTATTTCTGAAAGAAGGAAGTACAATGCATTTGAACTCACAAAGGATATTTGCCTTTCACCTAAATATGTTTTCTGAGCATCTAGCATTGAACCTAAAGAATAAATTTTACTTTCTGTTCTGAAGCTTGTTTAATGATTGCTTCATGGCCGAAACAAAATGGAAGAGTGAAAGCTGGAAGCATGCTACAGATAATTGTCACATATGAGACTTAAATGTAAGAGGTTTAATGTCATCACTAATAGTTATACATTTTCAGACTCATTCTCCAGTGTTTACTCTGCATGTTAGTGGAGGAAAACCTTTCAAGCCAAAGGCTTTTGTTAAATGGATGAAGGTAAAAACACTGAGCACAGCTTCACATCCACTCTACTCCTTTAACTTTAGAATTCTTTTATAAAATTAATAATTCTTAATGTTCCTACCTCTGTAAATAATTATAGCATTCAAGTGGACATACAGATAATTAAAAATAACACAAATAAAAAGGGATAAATTTTGTTCACTGCTTAATCTTTAATTTGCCTGGAAAGCACTTTATATAGGAAATTAAATGAGTATTATTGCAATTCTTTGCTCTTGGTGATTCTTACAATCAACAGTTGCTATTTTTGCTAAAATTCTAAGGATTTCAATTAAATAATGATTTTTTTAAATGTCCTTGCCATTTTAAACTATTTTATTTCCACGTAAAAACATTTTAGTTCATCTTGATACATAACTTTTCTTGCAAAGCCAACAATTATATCTTATATTATACATAATTACATTTTTTATATTCAAGTATTATATTTGGTCATATTTTCCCAGTTCACATACCACATAGGGAGCATATGGAAGGGAATGTTTATTCCAGTAGATCACAGGTGTCTGCTGTTGATGAACAGCCTGGAGAAATTGGGGAGTGTTGAACTGATAAATTTGGCTGTTCTTGACCTAAAGGAAATAAAAATATATCAAAAACCAATCAAGTTACTCTCCTCTAAGCTTCAAAACAGAAAGGAATAGAAGCTAGTAAATTTAACTTCAGCTAATTAGGCACTTTCTAAGTTATTCCAAGAACACTCTAGACAAAAATATTTCTAGTATCAAAATCAGCATAATCATTTTTGTGTCACAGATTGTACTATTGTACTATCTAATTCATACACAGACAAAAAAATTATAAGATAAAAAGGGAAATGTATATGTCATAAAGAAGTGAGAACATTTTAATGAGCCTTGCAATTTTCTCCACTTATAACTTATGTTTTCATGTGTGACCTTTACAGTCTGGGAGGCTCAGGATGATGTGCCATGACTTGTTCTCTGAAGCCTATGCCTCTGATCCTGTTGCTTAGTCTCTCTTCATACAACTTATAGAGTATCTATAGAGCTTTCTGAATAGCCTGTGCCATACATTTCATGTATACTTCCACTCAAGGTCTTTAATGCCTTCTTAGTTGAATTTAGCATGGATGAATCTAGAGAATAAATACAGCTTCTTGCATGAGAGTCTATTTTCTTTTTTTATCATTTTTTATTTTAATTTTAAATAGCTTGTTTTACATGTCAATCCCAGTTCCCTCTCCCTCCCCTCCTCCCGCACTCCCCTTCCCCCCCTCCCTCCCACCCTATTGCCAAATCCTTCCACATAGGGGATATCTAGAGTCTGTCATTTTACTCTTGGTAGGGTCAAGGCACTCCCCTAAGAGTCCAGGCTGAGAGAGCATCTCTCTTTGTGCTATAGGCACATGAAGACAGTTTGTATACCAGGGATAGACACTGATCCACAGCTCAGGGCCCCATTTCTTACAGATGAAAAGTTTTATTTTAATTTCCAGTGAAGAGCGCATGGTGTATCTATGGTTTTAGATTTGATGAAATCGTTTTTGTGTCTCCAGCATACTATGATGTAGTTTACATATATTACAAAATCTTTAGAATATCTAGCCTAGACCTATGTTTACTTTCTGGTAGGTAACAAGAATGAAGTAATTAAAAACCTTATATGGTAAAGAGTAGGGTAATAGGACTGGTGGATCACTCTCCTGACTATAAAGCCTGTGTCGGTTCACTGAAGAACAAATGGTTTTAAGCTCAGTAAATGATTACATGAGCTGCTGTGGTTTGATACTAATTACGGAGACACCTTCATTTTGAGAAATTAGATCCTGTCAAACTATTAGAGAGAAACTTAGATTCAGTTTTACCATGTGGGTACTTAAACTAAATCATTTGAAATAAAAACATGTTCTATGCTGAAATTTCTAACTACTCTACAATCATCAGATAATTTCTCAAGTAATTGCTTTAAAAGGAGACCTATATTTATTTTCAGAGACACATGCATACCAAAATCAAATAAAATTTACTTGTATTGAATTTGTTTTTGAAGGTTTTGGGGGGATTGAATAATGTAGTAATTGGAATAAGAGATTTATGGTTATGTATATAGTCATTGAATTTTAGACAGGAATTTTCATTATCAGTAATATTTATATCATATATTTTGGTATAATTAGTAAGATGGGAAATTACCAAATTATTAGGAATTGTAACTGCAGAATAAAAGTGATCTTTTAAATCAATTGTTTATTTCTTTGATTTATGAGAAAATGCAATCTACTTCAGTAGATGAATTATTCAAAATATCCTTAAGAAATAAAAATTTTTATAAAAGTCTGAATGCTTGTAAGGTAATTAAATTTGTAATGACTCAAAATTATAAACTGTTGCTTGACAGGAAAATTCATATACCAACACAATCATTATTGTGACAGGTTAAATAAAGCCAGCAACAAAGAACTTTAAAAAAATCAATGTAAAATACGGAAAATTCAAATGTATCCAAGTACCAAATAATTAAAAAAATTAATTGACAGAATCACAGACAATTAAGAGGAAGATTTTGAATAACAAGCCACTAAAATACATCTAAAATAACCTGTTTTGTCAAAAGTGACATTTCCAAGCATGCCCAATTCTTCATATTATAAACATTTATATTGCATATGACTTCCCAAAAACTAAAAAAAACTTACCATATCAATAATCTTCTTCAGGATTTCCTTAGAGAAAGCAAACAAAAATGTAACATATACGCTGAATTGAACACTCTATTTGCTCTGCCCAATTTATTTGTAGATAAAGCAGAACTGGTCTGTCTGCCATAAACACAAGCATGATGATTTTTTTCCCCATTTGAATTATGTCTGAATTCTTCCAATAATAGAAACATACATTTACTGCTTTATTTGAGTATACACTCTAAATTGAGTTTGTCCATTTTACTTATTTTTTTGTTTCTATTATCTAGAATCTTTTAGGTGAGATATTTGCTTATTGATTATACGTTTCCTAAATAAAGTGGATAAATTCATGTGTTTAGTTTTATTAGCATAGTAAAACATTTTAAATAATATCCTGCTTTTTGAAATTATGCTAAATAAGCATTTGCATAAAACATCTATATCTATGCCTTGGGTGATCTTTATATCCAATTTGTATGAGAAATAATTTCAGAAAAAGTTGGAATAAATATTTGCTTAGTTAAGAAACTCTAATAACAACTCAGTAACATTTAGAACTGTTAGGGTTTTATAACTATTCAAACCTCTAAGTAATGTCTCCATTTCTCATGGGACATAATGTAGTTCATCAACTTAGTCCCATGGACTTTTGTGCTGAGTAGCACTTTTCTAACCACTAACTATAAAATTAAACGCAAAACATGAAAAGTTTATACAATTTTGGTAGTCATGACTCACCTCCACAATGATGCTGATGGATTCCTTAGGAAAAGAAATAAAAATAATACACCAAATTATTTATATAATAAAATGTTACTTATTATAGTGCCCCTTTCAGTTATCACCAATAAGATACAATGAAATAAAACTAGTTAAATCACTGGATACCATTCCAGGTGCCTTTAGGCAGGAGGCACATGACATTAGTAGGGAGAAGTCTTTGAAATCAGAACTGGTGTGAGAACTTGATTCCATAATGAGAAACACAGCTTAGAAAGCTGTGGATGGACACCATGACTCGGCTCAGGGACCATCAGCAAAAGAAATGGTATTGGATGTAGAGATCCACAAGCAAGCACCAGGCTGAGCTCCAGGAAGCCAGTTGAAGAGAGGGAGGAGGGAATATATGAGCAAGGAGGTCAAGATCAAGACGGAGAAATCTATAGAGACAGCTGAAACAAGCTCTCAGAAACTCATGAACTCTGGACCAACAGCTGTGGAGTCTCCCGGAGCAAAACTAGGTCCTCTATATATGGGACTCAGTTGTGAAGTTTGAACTATCTGAGGGACCCCTAACAGTAGAACCAGAATACAAACCTGGTACATGAGTTAGCTTGTTGGAGCCCATTCCCTATGCTGGGATGCCATGCTCATCCTTAATGAATTGGAGAGGGGCTTGGTCTTGCCCCAACCTGTTGTGCCAGACTTTTGTTGACTCCTTATGGTAGCCCTTACCCTTGAGGAGGAGTGAACTGCGGTTGGCTGGGGGAGGGTGAAGGGAGGACAGAAGTACAGGTGGGAGGGAGATCTGTGGTTGCAATGTAAAACGAAATTTAAACTCTGTCTTGGAAAAAAAAAGAAATTTAAAAGAGTAAAAGAATTTTTAATGAGATAATATTGACTATTTTTGTTCTGATCCAGTACTATGTAAATATTTCTTGCTAAATTTAAATGTTACTGCTTTCCCATATAAATTTTTGTCATTGTTACATAAAATTTTGGTTTATGTAAATCATATATATGTATATTGCATATATTCTCTACTTTAGCTTCTTTATAAAACTGAGATACCATCTTACACCTGTGAGGATGGCTAAAATAAAAAAACCCACAGAACTAAATAGGAAATTCTATTCTGGTTTAAAGGATGACCTTACAACTTAGGACTGGATATGCCAACCTTGCTCATGATTCTGGATTTGCCAGGCAGATTAAAGACTCTCCAGCAAAATCCAAGATATGTGGAGTAAAATGTGTGTTTTTATGTTATACATCTTCATAACTCTAGGGGACATCACATAGTATGAAGGAGCTCTTGATGGCAGGCACATTCTACTTGCTACAGTCCTTCTTTATTTGATGAGGTTATTGGTTTGGCTGCTTGATTGCTGGATGGAGGCTAAGATCTATTAACTAACCTACTGCATTCTAAATACTCATGCTTACACCCAGAGGTGAGTGTTTCTTTCACCTCTCATCAAAATGACTTGTATCTTCATGAAATTGAAATCACTAGAGAAAGGCATAACTGGTCAAAATATAAAGGACAAGAGACCACGGAGTGCCTTTCCCAAATAAATAACTATCACACAACCCCCCACATTTAAGGTTCAGTGAACATGTTGGGAGAGGAAGTAAAAATATTGTCAGAGCCAGAGGAGCAAGGCATATGTTGTGAGATAGTATCTTTTAGATATGACAGGGAAGATGCACCTAGGAAATCTCAACAGTAAGATTGCCTAAAAACAGGACCTAAGAAGTGGTGACATCAATTGCCTTGCCAACATGGATCAGGGATCCTCATGGGTCTTCTCCTCTAGGTGAGAGCTACAGACAATTAATGTTTCTGAGAGAGGGAGAAACAGCTTTCTCCAGGAAAAACTTTTTGATCTGGGACACCAATCCCAGGAAGTTACATATAAACATAAATATATGCCTATGTTTTGCATGTAATAGACAATTAAAGAATAAAAGGCTGTTTATTTGAGGAGTGGGAGGGAGAAGGTAGAATGGAATGATGCAAATTCATTACTCATATGAAATCCTCAAAAACAAAAAACATGAATATTACTATTGTCAGAAGGACTCAGGAATTAAATAACTTCTTGTTCTGCTCCTGTTTGTGTGTGTGTGTGTGTGTGTGTGTGAGTGAGTGTGAGTGTGTGTGTGTGTGTGAGTGTGTGTGTGTGTGTGTGTTGTCTATTTGACTTATTTAACAGCTGAAACCTACTAATCTACAGTCCTTGCTTCCTAATGCTGCCACCTTCTGGGCATAATAAAACGTCAACACCTTTCTATTTCAAATGCACACAGATTTTAACATTTAAGAAGTTTCATAATCATCTAGTGTTCAAGACAATACATGAAAGCTTATTTAGTCTAATGACAGTGATGAATTTTTAGCTTCTATAGAACACTTAGGAAAATACTTCACAAGAAAGACAGAGAAGTGCTATGATGTCCACAAGGTCATATGCCACCTGGCTTGCTTTTATTAGTTCAGCAGCTGGCTCCTGTAACACCTCAAGCTATAAATAAGATCCCACTCCTTAACTGTTTCCTACATGCCACTTGTTTCTCCTGTTTCAAAGACAAAAAGCTTTGTTGAAGTGACTCTGGCAAATAGAACTTTACCAATTGAATTTATTTCTTTAGACTTCAGATTGTGTTTGAAAATGAAGGTGGTATTCTCGGCTTCACATCAAATCACACATAAATGTATATTTACAAGAGTTATATGTAATTTGACTTTTCTTTGAATTATTTATATGGCTTTTCAAATACTAAATTGTCTATATGGTTTGTTTTAATTTGTATTTCAGAAAATGTCATTAAAATTTTGTTTTCTACTTTCTATATTCAAATTTATTGGAATTTTTCCTTCAGTTCGTTATTTTTCAACAACACAAATAAAAAATGTAGCACTCACCTGGTTGGGGATATTATGTATGGCCTTTCCCTGGACCCATTGGTTCATAACAGTCTGCTGTTGGGAAACAGGTATGCAAGACTGGAGGCAGGAAAAGTCTTGGGAAAACTGCTTGACTTTTTTCTAGAAGGGAATAAATGTACTGGTGTTTATTCTGTTCTCTATAGGTCAGAGTGTATCTGTAGGAAATAAAATCTATATAAATATCAAATATGTTTTTGTTTTCTGAGGCTTACTAAGCAAAAGACATTCTATTATGTAATACAATGTAAAAGTGAATAAAGTAAATTTTAGAACTGGGGGCATTATTAGGTTATTGGGTTAGGATTCCAGAAGAAGTAAGTGTTTAAAATGTAGAATTTGAGAGTTTTCTGGGAAATATCTAACATTGCAATTTAATTTTTTCAAATTTCCCTCAAGAAGCTTGATGTCTGCACTCTCAAATAGCGATATTTATATTGACTTCATTGAAGTTTAACTTCTCAATATCTTACGGTACACTGTTTCAGAAATCATGTGAACTAATGAATGCAGTGACTTATATATTAACTATCTTATATACCCATCCTGGAATGATTCAACATTAATTTGGTTGTACCTAGTTGCTGACAAATATTTGTTAATTAAAGTTGAAACACATTAAAATCACATTTGTTTGCAGAGAATTTCAAGTTCACAGAGATAATAATAGAATAGATGTTTAGAAGAACATCCATTTATCTTTGTTTGGGTGTCAGGTGACATGGCCCCATAAGTGAGAATCGTATAAGGATACAGTGCTATCAGGATATCGACATGCTGTGAGAAAGAGTATTAGATTAACTATTTCTTTAAAATAGATTATTTTACCTTGCATTTAATGGTACAATCTGAAACTATTTTGTTATGATAGACTTAGAATAAAATGTTCTACATGTATAAAATTAATGATTGCTATCCTTTTTATTTATTTTTGCAAACTTCTTTTAGGATATTACCTCTAACATCCTTTTAACATATTCAGCTCAGGTGTCAGTGGATCATTCTGAGTTAAGGAAGATGTAGCATGGAGGAGATAAGTAAACGGCTCAAGGAGTTCAAGTTTGGAAGGAATTTGATAAATTTCATTCCTCGCATTCTTTCTTGCACTGCACATCTCGGTTGTCTCCTGTGACCCATGCTTCATAATGAGAACATTTAGTAGCATTTGACCTAAATTGTTTGCCTCTTATGTTCATTCAAAGAGAAGCATTTTTACTAACTATATGACTGAGATACTACATGAATATTGCTAGGAAATTAGTTAACTTATTTTTGAGTTTGTAAATTCTTTTGAATTTAGTTAGATTGCCTAGCTTTCGCTAAAATTCCAAATTTAAAGGATATTATTCACATATATGGTAACAGTTTGGTCAAACTTGGATATTGAATGTTTTCTTGGGAAGAAATGATATGTTGATTATACACTTACCTGCTCATTCAGGTTGATCTTTTGTTCCTCAGTCTGGACAATTTTCTGTTAAAAGCATCCCATGTATCAGAGAAATACAAACAGAAATGCTGCTAATGAAAGTAACTTAGTTAAATTATGATTACTTACCTCATTGATTTCCTCAGAAGATTCCTAAAGGAAACCATGAAATGTAGCTTTACTTTAGTTATATAGCAATAGTTAAATGTAAATGATTTTACTAGATAGTCAGGGACAATTATCTAAATATTCAGAATCCAACTACCCAGGACTAAGATAATAAGCCATTTAGGAATTAAGAAGGGTAAGTATTTATCAGAACTCTCTAAATTTCCATTTTCCTCTACAAAAAATTAGTACAATTAAAATATATTTTAATTCAGCACTTCAATACTACTTTATTCAGAATTATCATTATTTTTTAGACATGGAATGTAGGCACGTAATCAAAATAAGTAAATAAGACTAGCCATGATATTCACTATGCTTGTAATCCTCATTAAACTGAGGCAGTAGGATTAGTATAGGTTCAAGGTCAATTTAGGCAGCATAGTTATAGAATTAGACCCTGAATCCTTCCTGAAAAATGTAGGAGAGAGGATCTGGGGGATGGGGCGTGTTTGATGGGAAGTGTGGTGAACTAAGCCTCATGGGTCTTCTCTCAATGACAGATATGGTTGGGAGCTCCCAGTCTGAGACTGAGCCTGAGACTTACATTTAGAGAAAGGCTGAGACCTGTTCTCTGAGACATTGGCTATGAAGATCTTAGGCATCATCCAAGGTCATGAGGATTCAGATTATGACACAGTATACTGCTATTAGCCCTTATAAGGCATATTTCAATTGCCCACCATTGTTCTCAACCAAAGGCCTAAAGGTTGCCTTATTGCATACATTACATCTGACCCCAACCTTCTTCTGACTCTATTGAAATGGTTCTCAATGTTTAACATGAGAATATCATGTCAAAGACTTAATAAAATTTAGAGTGTTTAGAGCAACCCAGAGTTCCTGATGCAGCTTCTTGTGGAGTCACATATACAGCAAAGAACAGGGTGTAATAAATAATATTCTTATGAATTTAGTCAACTTAAGCTATGATGGGATAATTTTTTGGTTTTTTGAGACAGGGTTTCTCTGTATTGTTTTGGAGACTTTCCTGGAACTCACTCTGTAGACCAGGATGGCCTTGAACTCACAGAGATCCGCCTGCCTCTGCCTCCTGAGTGCTGGGATTAAAGGCGTGCACCACCAAAGCCCGGCAATGGGATATTTTTGAAACTATTCTAGGAAATATCAAGTTATTATAGAGCAGTATGCTTAACTCACTATTTCTCAAAAATAACACAGAAGAAATAATACGTTACCTCACTGGATGAACTGATGGCAGAATCCTTGATGAGTCAAGTAAAAGTAAGACAAAAGAATTGGTGACATGAAGAGACATTTCTCAACAATGCTCCTCAAAAACAGCAATTACCTCAACTTCATACTATATTGATTTCCTACTGAGTTACTAATATGCAGGATGATAGGGAGGATAGAGATAAAGCATAAAGTCATAGTTCATTGGCACTGATCATTAACCACATTCAGAAAAATATATGGGAAGGGTCAAGTTTATCAGGTATTTAAGTGGGATTTGCTGAGCATAAAGAAGCATGATGGAATAAAATTAGTGCAGCTAGAGTTAAACTGTAGTCCAAATGACTATAGATACTGCCTTCTGGCATATTTAAGGAGGGGTATTGTGAAAGGTCTGTGGGATATAAGTAATATTTTATATCAAGTATAAGTATTGTTAATCAAATGTAGTTGAGATGAATAAAATTTTCTAGTGTCTCATCTATTTTTATTTGTGATTTTGTAGTTTACAAAGAATTAGGCACATTGATCCTATTATATTTATGCAATAAGGGAAATCCATCTTCCTTAGAAAGATGTATATTAATACTTTATCTCCACCATGGGTTTATGTTGAAATAACCCATTGAAAATGTGTCTTCAAAATGAGACACAGATATCTTTGTAGTATCTATGCACATTATTGAATAGTGACTAGCTAAGTTTATGAAAACATTGATGATTTGAAGTTCAAGGTTGAATAAATAACAGTCATTTGGCCTAGTGCTCAGCATAGACATAAATAAATAAATTTTACCTGATTAGTTTGGAAGAACACATTACTTCCCTGCTTATGCTTCTGAAAAGAAATAAATGACATTAATGTTATATTCATATTGATTGAAAAGATATTTTAAAATATATTTAATGTTAGAAACTATGACTTACTCCATGGTAGGATTTGACAGATTCCTTAGGAAAAATGATAATGCAGATTGATTACTTATGAATTCTTTTACCCATAATACCAAACAAAGTACCAAACACTGATTATTGAATCCAAGAGTTTTATAGTAATGTTTTTAGGATTACAGCAGCAAAGAGGGAATGAACAATTTTACTTTTTTTCTTAACCTTTAAAGATATTCCTTTTTTAAAAGTAGAATCATGACAAGAGAGCACTATAATTTGTGGGTGTCATTTATCTGGAATTTGTTAATGAAGCATGGCAAGAATGCACTGAGAAAATGCAGCCCTATATAGATAGAGACATGTCTGTATTCACTACTCCGGAAAAAGATATAACAAATTATATGCATTATTCACAACACAATGGGATTCCTATACTGACATCAGAATTACTCAACAATGAGACAATCAGCATGGGAAACATATGCAAGTTTGATGTTGCTAATTTAGACATAATTTTTTTATTTCAATGGATGACCTCTAATTTTCCTATGACTTTATAGGTCATTATTTCTGCTCATAAAAATCTGAATGAGCAAGACATATCATTTACTATTAAGTGCCAAAATTCATAATCATAATAAAGTACTTTACCTCACTGGAGGATTGATCCTTTATTACCTATGTAAATAAAAATGAACATGAATTCAACTTTTATGACTTATTTAAATGGGAAGGTTTATGCCTTTTCTATTGCTTAATTGCAGTGAAACTTAAAACAAAACCTGAAGCAAGTGACATGACTCAGTAGGCATAGGTATTTGCCACCAAGCATGAAGGCATGAGTACATCCTCAGGACCACATGATAGAAGGCAACGGCTGCTTTCCAACTTCCATAAGGTGTCCTCTGACTGCCTCATGAGCATTTCAGCATGTACACACACACACACACACACACACACACACACACACACACACACACACATACATGCACGCACACAAGCACGTATGCACGCGTTCACGCACGCGCACACACAATAATTAAAATGCTTTATCTAAAAGAAAAACAGTTTCTTAGACAAATTTAGTGCGAAAGGGCTCTCTTTGAAAAGTTATCTAAGTCTCAATTATCAGTATGGAAAAACTTCCAACACAAGAGCTTTTGAAGATTTTGAGCAATCATTTGCTAATTATACTGACAGACTTTTAGCTGGATGAATTTCTTCACTTAAAAGAAGTTTTTTAGACTAATAATAAAAGTAATAAACAGGAGTGTTCCCCTTTATCCACATCCCCTCCAGAATAAACTGTCATTGGTGTTTTTGATTTTAGCCATTCTGACAGGTGTAAGATGGTATCTCAGAGTTATTTTGATTTACAGTTCCCTGATGGCTAGGAAGATTGAACACTTTCTTAAGTGCCTCTCTGCCATTTTAGAGAACTCTATTGAGAATTCTCTATTTAGTTCTGTAGCCCACTTTTTAATTGGATACTCTGGTGTTTTGAAGACTTGCTTTTTGAGTTCTTTGTAAAATATATATTAGTCCTCTGTCAGATGTGGGGTTAGTGAATATTTTTTCCCATTCTGTGGGCTGTCTTTTTATCTTGTTGACTATGTCCTTTGCCTTACAGAAGCTTCTCAATTTCAGGAGGTCTCATGTATTAATTGTTGATCTCACTGTCTGTGATACTGGTGCTGTGTTCAGGAAGTGGTCTCTTTCTCTGCTGGTGAGAGTGCCAACTCATAGAACTGCTTTGGAAATCAGTATGGAGATTCCTCCGGAAAATGGGAATCAGTCTACCACAAGACCTAGCAATTCCACACTTAGGCATATACCCAAAAGTTGTATAGTCATACAACAAGGACATCTGTTCCACTATATTCATTGCAGCCTTATTTGTAATATCCAGAACCTGGAAGAAACCTAGATGCCCCTCAACTGAAGAGTAGACAGAGAAAATTTACACAATAGAGTATTACTCAGCGGAAAAAAAACACGGAATCTTAAAATTTGTAGTCAAATGGACAGTACTAGAAGAAACCATACTGAGTGAGGTAACCCAGTCACAAAAAGAAAAACATGGTATATACTGACTCATATGTGGATTTTAGACATTGATCATGGGAGTGCCAGTCTACAATCCCACTGCCAGAGAGTCTGGGAAACAGAAGCTTCAACCAATGACTGATAGAAGCAGAGGCAGACACCCACAGGTAAACGCTGAGCTGAACTCAAGGAACCCAGTGAAAGAGAGGGAGGACTGATGAGCATAAGGATAAAGACTGGTCTTATTTAACCCACAGAAGCAGCTGACCTGAACAAAGGGGAGCTCTTGCACGCCAGACTGATGGCTAGGAATCCAGCGTGTGACTGATCCAGACTCCCTGAATGTGGGTGTCAGTGAAGAGTCCTAGGCAATCTATGGGTCCTTGGGTAGTAGATCAGTATTTATCCCTGGCATATAAATGGACTTTGGGTACCCATCCCACAATGAGAGTTGCTCTCTCAGCTTTGACTCCTGCCGGAGAGCCTAGGCCCTGTTCTGGATGAAATGACAGACTATGGACATCCCCAATGGAGGGCCTCACCCTCCCTGGGGAAAGCAGTGGGGATTGGGGGAGAGGGGAAGGGGAAATTGGTGGGAAGGCATGGGATGAGGGAAGGGAGATGGAGCTGAGATTGACATTTGAAGCAACCTTGTTTCTAATTTAAATTTAAAAGTAAAAAAGACAACAAAAAAGTACTAGGGATCCTGTATAATACCTCCAAAGCATCTTATTATTTTTCTGTGTAAATTAACTTCTTTATTACAGGGAGTTAGAGTTTAGGTTCATAATGAGGGTAGAGACAGTATTGAAAGACTGCAAACTGTGATAATTAAGTACTTTCAAATGTATTATCTATTATGTGCTTTGCATTTTGAGACATTGTCATCATCATTATCATCATTATTATTAATTATTTACTAGTTATTTTTTCTGGCAAATAAGTCACATTTAAATCCAAGCTTACTAATATTTATTTCCATTAAAGTTTTTTATTGTGTTTATATTTACGGTATGTGTGTGCATATCTGTATGTATTCATGTTCTTATTTGCCATGAGAAGGCATGCATTCATATGTGAACTTACTGTGAGTGCCTGTGGTTTAAATTAGGCATATTCCCTGATTTCATCTTACTTTATTCACTGAGAAAAGATCTCTGTGTTGAGTTCAGGGACCCCTGAGTGAACTAATCTTGCAAGCTTGCTTATTCTGGAATTCATAGTCTCAAGGTTTTTGTTTTCCAAATGTTTGGATTCCAGACTTGCAGGTTTTATGTGGATCTAGGGAATCCAAAGTCCATCTCTGTGTTTGTGTGCCAAATGCTTTATCTACTGAGATGTTTGCCAGCTCTATATGTCCTCATGTATATTTTGTCATCATGTTTCCTAAACTATTTTCAAATCAAGAATGACAAAATTCTGTCAATTCATTGACAACTGGCTTTGGAAATCCAAATTATGGTGGTGAAATTTCCTTTTATTTCCAGAACACACTGTAGGTAGAAGTGGCTCCTGCTGAAAGGTCTAGCTACAATTACAACACACTCTGGAAGAAAAGCAACTCTTTTCTCCCACTGTCCTACACTTATGAATCTTCTCAGTTTTGACACTTTGTAGCATGACTGTTCACCCTTATACATCACATAAGGTCAGATTAACACTATCATTGGCATAGAATCCAAGATAACAGGCTCAGTCTTTATTCATTGTTGACAATGCCCACATCATTTGCTTATAGTGAAAGTGTAACCTATTTTCATAATTCAAAAATGAAGCCATAGCATCATGAATCACTGTTTACTTACCTGCTTTGCCATAGCAACAGCCACTAGGCAGGTAAAGATGAAGAACTTCATGGTTGCTTGGTCCTAAAGAAACATTAATAGACAATTAATAATTTATCTTATTGAAACAATGAAACAATCATTTATTTATTACTATACACGTAATGGGTAAAGGGAATGAAGATGAAACAATAGGCTATGTTGAGGAATTTTATGAACACAAATAGAAATCACAATTTATTTTGAGACTTTTTTTCCTAACAGGAGATACTTATAGCCATATTTGTTAAAATGTGGATAGTTCATTCAGAGACATTATAAATTCCTAGAAATAATCTCAAAAGATAGATATTTTGTGAAGCATGATTATCAGAAAGAAAAGATGAAATATAACAGAAGTTCCTTTTGAAATTGGATTTTAGGTGAACTAAGGCATAGAGCCTTGCTACCTAACAAAGAAAAGTAGTAGATGGAAATGAGATCTGGATGAGTCAGAGATCCTGAACACCGTGGCTCTACTTAGACTAGTATGTGAAGCTGACACAAGCTACTGGGTATTTTCCATCTTTATCTAACATGCCTAATGTGTGGGCCTGAGTCCACAGTTTCCGAGATTGTTCTAGCTAGATCAATCTCTAATTCTATAGCCAAAGAGAAGTAAGTCTACAAGGTTGCCTGACAGCCTGTAAACCAATTTCTTCTCTCAGTTTAACTAAATTAAAACTGAAATAATATTACTCTAAAATCTTCTTTTTCATGTTTTACTCTGTAGGCATTTTTTTTATTTTATTAACTTATTTGTTTTACATCCTGAAGGCAGTTTCCCCTTCCTCCTTTCCCCTCCTTCACCTTTCTCCCCTCAATCCACTCCTGCTCTGTTTCTGTTCAACAAAGCATGGCATATCAATTTTCAATAAATCAAAGTATTATTATTCCCTTGTATTAAGGATTGGCAAGGCAATACGGTATGAGGAAGAGGTTCCCAAGAACCAGTCAAAGCATTAGGGACAGGACAGCCCTTGATCCCATTGTTAGCAGTATCACAAATAGACCAAGCTACACAACTGTCACATACATGTAGAGGACTTGGGTCTCTCTCATGCAGACTCCCTGATTATTGGTTCAGACTCTGAGAATTCCTAAGAGCCAGATTAGTTATTTCTGTGGGTTTTCCTGAGTTGTCTTTGACTCCTCTGGCTCCTACAAATGTTCCTTCCTCTCTTCAGCAGAATTCCCTGTTGTTGTCCTAATGTTTGCCCATGGGTCTCTGCATCTGTTTACATCAGTTACTGGATGAAGGCTCTCTGATGACATTTGGGGTAGTCACCAATCTGATCACAGGAGATACCCTTTTCAGGCTATGTATCCACTATTTCTAGGAGTCTGAGTTAGGGTTATCCTTGTAGATTCATGGGAATTTCCCTTGCATCAGGCATCTACCTGATCCTGAAATGCCCCTCACCCTTTTCAGCACTGTCTTCCTCCATCCATCCCCTGACTCAATCCCTCAAGTTCTCATTCTCACATACCCCTAGTCCACTCAGGAAATCTCTTCAATTGCTCCTTTCCAGGGAGATGCATATTTTTAAAGCTAACTTTAAAATATATTCTTAAAGATATCAATTAGCTTCTTTATTAGTTCAATGGAAGAGTACATTTCATATAGCTATGTTTCCTAAGCAGTTGATATATGGTGATCACTGTGCTGGTTAGACATTTTATAGTATCACTTGCAATCTTTAGAATAATTTTGTGATGTTGTCAGGCATGTAATTTTTTTCTTAAATTCTAGTGAAGAAATTGGCCCAAAGTACACAAGAAAAGTAAACCGTTGATAGATTATTAAAAAGTCATGTCATCATTCTTACTCCTGGCTTTAAAATAAAACATCAAAATACAGTATCATAATAAAGTTTTTAGTGTCTACATTTTAACTACTAAAAATTGAAAAAAGATAAATGGCAAGTCAATATAAATTTAAAATATCTGAAGCATTGTATTGTACTGATTGTGGCATTTTCCCCTATATATTGATTTTCATTGTGCAGTAAAGAATGAACAGATTTTGAAATTTTTGTTAGTATATACTATAAGAGAAAGAATGTATGAAATGTTACCTTGTTACCCAAATCGAAGGCCAGAGGAACTGGTAGATGATGATCTGTATTGTATCGTTTTCAAACTATTTAAACCTTGCTCTATGATGACATGCTAATTCTGTGGTTTCAAATACCTAAAAAGACATTCAGATTCTAAGAAAGCACTATGATTAGGAATTGTCTTTTGGGCTTTTGTTTCACAGATTCCAAGGAGTCCTTAAACATAGTTTGATTGAGAACATGATAACAGGGAGGCGAGGCTTACAATGTATAAAGGCTAATTGTAGTTGAGTGTAGCCTCCCTGTTTTGTGAACTGATTTTCTGATTCTAGTGTTTTTTAAAAAATCCCCCCTTTATTATTATATTGTGAGCAGTAGAACTTTGTGATTTCACTTCCATCTTAAAGCATATTTAATTATTTTATTTCATGTATACGTGTGTAGGCCTGAGTGATGGATGTTTGTACCACGTGCATGCAGGAGCCCTCAGAGTCCAGAAGAAGCAGTTGGATTAAATGGAGCAACAGTTACAGGCAATCATGGGTCCTGTGAACTAGAGCGGGATCCTCTGCAGAAACAGCCAGTACTCTTTATGCAGTCATCTCTCCAGCCCCATGGTTTCATTTCTTGATACTCTTTTGACACAGCCATACTCTTTTTTTTCTTGATAACATCATGACCTCCACATTCCTGTGACTCTTCGTCTTTCTTCTGACTATCAAGTCCCTGCCTTGGCTTCTCTCTGAGAATGAATGGTAAATAGTCGTGTATTACTTAAGGTCAGTTTAAAATTTTCACATGGTTCTTACATAGCCTATAAATCTCGTATGGTAATAATCCCTTGCTTTACCTTAGTCTATTTCTTTATATACTTAGTTAAAATAATCTGCAAAATGATTACGTCTAGTGTATGTTGATACGTGGGTATTTGGTTCAACAAATATTTAGAACATAAAATATATTCTGGGAATTCTAAACATTTTGAATGAAGTCACAAACACAAATTCCAGGATACCTGGGGTAGATACTATAACTGTGAGACATAAAAACATATTGTATACATTCTGTCTCTGTTTGGTTTGGTAATGACATGTTCTAAACAGAAAAAAGACTTGGAAAAAGAGGTAGGAGTTCTTCATGGTAATGTGCCCAGAAAGGCCTTCTCCAGCAGAATATCAGTTTGAAGATAGAAGAATGCAGGTACCTGACAAAAAGGATCCTAATCCAGGTCTTGAAATAAGAACACACCAGGATCTTTTGAAATAACTTACAGAATAGTATGGGTAGTGAAAGTCTTGGACGTGAACTCAAAAGAACAAATAGGGTCAAAAATACAATAAATTAGCACATTTTTTAAAACTTCCCTAGGCTCATATTATGAAATTACACTTCTATATCTGAGAGCAGATCAGAGAAAAAACATATCTCATCAAATAGCTAAAAGAAGGTCAAAACATATAAGACATGGCTTTGATATATCACCTAATAAGAACAGTGATGCCTGGAAGATTAGGAGGAAACCAAAATAAGCACAATGATTCCCAAAATTTATTATCTGGAATGTGTTTACAAATACCAAGAGAAAAAGAAAAGGCCTCAAGACAAGGCCTTTATCTAGGGCAAACACCGCTGATATAGGGAAAGGCCAGCATCACAAATTCACATTGAATGCTGAAGTGGAGGAAATGTTTATTCCACACAAGCACTTGAGAAGAAATTCTGAAAACTAGCCCAGAACTGTGGTATCTTTCCATGGAGTTTAGGAAAGAACATCAGAAAGGAACAGGTTTGGATAATGCCCAGAGTTCATAGAAGACTTGGACTAGACTATGGTGCCACCACCTAGGTTACCATGTAACAATGTATGGGGAATTGCTAGAATTCTTAGAAAAGTATTGCTTCATTAATAGAATAAATTTCACTCTAAATAGAAGACTTCCCTGTTCTGTCCTTGCTTAACAAGCCTGGAAGAAAGACTGTACCCGGTAGAATTGTTTCAAAGGCCTTCATGTATGATCTAGAACTGAAATCAGACTATTTGAAGTGAAAAACATGTGACATTCCACATATGGTAAATTTAAATTGACTTTCATACAATATAAAATCTCTGGCTATGGAATAAAAATATAAAATATGGCTTATAATGAAGGTAAGTTGATATAGGCAGACCCAGAATCAGACAAGAATCAGTGAAGAAACAGATTAAATACTCATCCTTTTGGTGGCAGCTGTGTGTGAAGTATCAACAGTGGAGCTGAAGCCTTCCCAGAGGGCTGAGGTATTTAAACTCACTGAAATATCACCTTTGTTTTTCTAAATGATGCCAGTGTGAGGTCATGTCTAAGGGACTAAGAAGGAACCTCAGTTCTTCACTGTCACTAAGGATTAATTTAAGAATGGTATTTTAACAAAAGAAGCATGTGAAGACCAAGCAACTGGAAACATGTGGAAAAGGGCACATAAGCAATTGATTCCTCTGCTGGGAACCAACAACTAACACTTATACTTATGAATATTCATTAACTGCTAATTAACCATGATCTATTAATTTTAATTTTAATATGCTTTAATAAAGAAAAACATAAAAATAATGAAATATCAAAACTGTGTCCCTGTAGAAAAGCACGTAAAACAGTCTCTATAGAGCAGAAGCAAGTGCCCTGTTCAAATGCGATTAATCCTCTTTCTAATTCACACACAGTAAAAGGGTCCAGGTGAAATAAATGCTCCAGTAATTGAGTTCAGAAATTATAAAATGACTGAAGCAGCAGACATTTAGCATATCAACTGTTGAATCTCAAGAAGCGCATCTTCAAAGTGTTATAACTCTCTGGTCATGTAATAATTTTATCAAAATGTCATTGGATCTTCTGTAAAAATGTTACAGCATGTCATAGAATTAAAGTTAATACTTTTTTAAAAAAAGGGGACAGAAACCAATTTTAATAGTTCTTGTGTGTGTGTTTGTGTGTGCGCACACAGCACATATGTGTGCATTGCATGTGTTTACAGGTGTTGCCATGTTTCCAACTTGCTAGATGCAAAATTATTCTCATAACTAAATGTTATGTGGTGATTTTTAACTTCAAGTTAAAATTTATGATTCCTGCATTGCCTCTGAGTATGGCATATCATACTAAGCAACACTTTGGACGCTATGGGGAGTGAAAACTCTAGTCCTTTTCTTCAATGTGATACAGAAACCTTGGGATTGCACAAGGAATCTTCATTTTTGTGTATGAAAATTAGAACAGACACACAAGAAACATTTAAAATGGAGGTCATAAATACACACAGATCTAATTTGCAAGAAAATAAGTATGATATGTTTTTGGGAAATACATGTTTATGTTTTTACATATTTTATATATTAAATACATATATGTAAATTTATGTTAACTTTTCCAGTACCTGAGGAACAACACAACATCTGAAGATTTTTTCTGACCATGTACACACATACAAATATATGTACCCATGCAAATCCATAAAACATAACAATAATTCAGTGAAATTTTATTTTAATCATTCCTGTTACTTTCTAGTGTGATTTGTAACTATAATAAACTTTATGATACCAGTCAGATCCATAGACTATTGTCACTGGGAAAAATATTGATAGTGTTTTGTACCTATTGTATGACTGACAAAATCCAAGAAATCCTTAAGTCAATTTCAAAGTGTCAATGATGTACTTCTCTCCTTTTTATATTGCTTTATTATTCATTTCTGTCATTTCAATTATTTTTGAAATAATTTTATCCAATCTAATCTGGTATGGTTGTAAGAGATTTATGATATCTATAACATGGTGAGTGATAGACAAACTAATGATCCAAAGGCACCTTCAAACAGAAATTCATGCTAATGCACACAGTTAATGTGGTTATACTTGAATCACTTGTATTTATTCAGGAAGTAGAAAAGGTTATTATTCTGTCATTTATTTTCTGTTTCAGCAAGATAGGAAGGTCAGAGATTATTCATTACAAAAAACAGGAATAAAGGGTTCAGTTGTGTTTGTTAGTGACAGTTTCATAACATAAAATAAAGGTTATTTAAATACATAGATGACAGAGATTATATTTTGATATTTATAATTAATAAATATTTATAATTAATAAATTGTCACTACACAGCATGCTCATTAAAAACGCAGACTGTCTTTTATTAGAGAAACATCAATAAAAGGTCACAGGAGTAACACGTGTGTGACATTAAGGTGGTAGTTTCAGATTACAGCACAGGAACTGATAATTTCAGTCATATTTACACAAGATTTGCTTCTTCCTTTTCCCCATATCTTTTATTTATCCTGAGAATAGAAGCATTCAACAGGATGTACTGAAAACTCCTGATACCTACTAAATTCAAATTATTTTCCTGTTAGAATGCATGAAGTAGAAAATTCTCACAAACATATAGCATTATATCTGTGTTAAAATATTATAGAGTTACTATAGTTCTGGGGACACTTGATGATAAACTCTGTTCTTGGGTTTAGTGTGTTATCACACAATTGATGAAAAATGCATTGTTGCAACAATCAGTTTAAAGGTATCACAAAGTCTATTACACATTTGTATTTTGGAGCAGCATGTTCACACTTTTGATTGAATTTGGGCCTTTATGATCTTATTGAGTATAGTTAAATCTATGCAAATATGAGAGGAAAGGAGGAAATCCTCCATGGAATCACAAGTAAAGTAACTGGAGACAGATCTCATTGATAACCCTGACATAATATAATGGAGAAGAATCTGAGAAGACAGGAGAACTGTAAGAATATGTGAATATTGCAGTAGCAACAGAAATGAAAGTTCAAGAGGGAAAGCTAGATGTCTGTAAATCAATGCTGCATTGACTTTGGATGGTCCTTAATGGCAGGAATTTAAAATTTTAATACATTATGTGCAAGAATGTATGTTATATTTCAGATAACAAGGATGCAAACCTAAATGGTTAGTATTATTTTGGTGCCGTCATAGACTTAATTCAAAGTAGTATGATTATGGAAACAATTCTCCATAAGTAATAGAAGACATCAGTGAGAGAGAAAATGTCTACAGATAGCATGTGCTATATATCAACTCTCAAAGCTGGGCAGACTGTTTTACAGAATGTTGAGATTGGGAAATTTAGCACTGTTATTATAATTGAACACATTATTTTGATTGGTTCACTAATTTCATCTTGAATTGACTGTTAGGTAGTTGAATTAAACATTTCATATATTTAATCATGCATGAAGCTAGCTAATTAGCATTTAACTGAAAAATATGCAAGATAAAATAACTGAAAAAGATGAGATAAATAATTTTTAGCTCTGCCTTTAAAATCATAAAAATACCCAGTAATAGTAGTGCATATCTTTAATTACATGGGAGTCAGAGGCAAGTGAAACCCTGTGAGACTGTAGCCAGTTGGCCTATATAAAGAATTCCAGTGTAGCTAGAGCTACATAGTAAAACCCTGTCTTGAAAAAAAACAATATTTATTCATGTAGTTTTAATTTTTTGTAGAGGTAATAAAATATGTATGTATTTCTAGAATCACTAAAATCTTGAGGTCCTTTGATTTTTTTCATATATTTCTTGTATGTACATAATGATATATATGAAATCTTGGATTCAAAAAGAGTGAATTTTAACTGCATACAAATAATTCTGTGGTGATGTTAAGATTATAATGCTTTCTGATATGTAAAATAGTATTTGTCTCAACATTTGTCTACTTTCCACATCATATGTGAAATCACTTTCATGTGATTTCAATAAGTTCTTCAAAATACAAAGGTGAAATTATGTTCCTGGTATGAATGCCTGGCATAATCCAACATTACTCGTAGACACTCGAGTAAAAAGAAGTTTCCAGTTCTTTTTGTTAAAAAATGTGAATAGTTTCTTTGTCCTGCCTGGGTAAAAATGTTCCAAGCGTGAAGTAGACCAACTATTTCGTGAAAAGAAAGAAGGATATACTTGAAGCACATGGATTAGTTATTTTATTCTCAGCTATGGAACCAAATACATGAAAAGAACTAAGTGAATAAAGGAATTCTGTTGCCTCACAGTTTGAGAGTACGATCTGTCATGACAGGGAAGGCATCATGATGGCAGGTAACTTTATGCTTAGGAGTGGAATGTTGCCATTACAAAGCGGAGCTGTTGGAGTATCTGATGACAACAAAGCTAGAGATCAGATGCTTACTCTCTTATCAAAGAGCACATTAAACAGTGCCACCGACATTCAGGGTAGGTCTACGTTCAGGTAAAGCATCCAGTTAAAACTTTCTAGAAATGCTCTCACAAACAAACTCAAGATGTGCATCAATACTGAGCTAGGCGTCTCATATGCCAATCATAACATTCTAAATTACATGGTGATACATTAGTAACTTAAAGCAAAATATACCTTAACCAATGGAATTGTGTCCCTGACTTCTAAAGGCTCATGCTCATTTCATAGGGTAAAAACAGATAATCTATTCCTATAGTGTGGAATGGTAAACTGAAGCAAATTCTTTACTCCACAAGATAATTTTACTGTTGGTGTTTTTTCACAATAATAGAAACCCTAACTACAACACACATTGCTTATGAAGAGCTTGTTTTTTCTCCATATCTTTTTTTGGGGGGGAGTGGTTTGAGACAGGGTTTCAGCTTTGGAGGCTGTTCTAGAACTAGTTCTTGTAGACCAGGCTTGTCTTGAACTCAGAGAAATCCTCCTGCTTCTGTCTTCAGAGTGCTGGGATTAAAAGCACACACCACTACTGTCGGGCTTTTCTCCCTGTCTTAATGGAGTTCTCTATATTACTCATGAGTAACAAAAGGCTCACTATCTGTAACAATTACTACTCTCTTTAATGTTTTATTAATCAAATATCCTTTACCTTTCCTTCAATAATGTTTATGTTGTACCATTTTAGGCTTTTATTTTTTGTCAGAAAGAAAATATATCATATAAAATAGCATGAGACTTTGAGGTGTGTTGTCACAATGACTAACAAGTTATGCCTGGTACAATTCATTTCATGACAACTAACTAAACAAGAAATAGAAGAAACACCTATCAAATGGAGTGTTTGAATCAGAGGATCAACTTTACTGGGAACATGGTAGAACTATGTGAAATCAGGGAGATGAATGAAGAAGTCATGATAAAGAGAAGTGGAAACATAGCTGCTTCTCTCTTGCTCCTTGAAGTCAACCCAGATCCTTCTTCCCCACATGTGGGAGAAGCATATGTCCCATTAAGCTCCAG